CTCGGGATCGGCGTGGGCGGGACTGCGCCTGCGCGCTGGCTGGAGGAGCTGACCAGCGTGCTGGGAGGAGGGCGCCTGGCAGGGGCGAGGAAAGCAGAAGCGAAAGAGGGACCAAGCTTTCAGGGAGAAAAAGAGGAAAAGGGGCGCATAGAAGGGAGGGAGGGGGAAGAAAGGCAAGCATGTACAAGCAAAGGTCAAGTAACGTCCCCTTTGTAATGGCATTTCATGATGTGGAATGAAGAGACCTCAAGTTCTAAAAACACTTTGAAATATTAAACACTATTAAAATAGGGTGCTATGTGCCGTCATCTCTGTTACTTTGCTATCTTCCTGTTCAATTCATTCACTCATCCATCATTCAATAACCATATATTGGACTGTTCTGGGGTGATGGTAGCGATATGAAAAAACAAAGTGGGGCGAATTTGAAAACTAAGAGAACTAACACAGGAATAACCAGCTGGCTGTGGAAGGGGACAGCCCAGGACTGGAGCCTGAGTGATGGAGTGGATGTGGGGGAAAAGGAAGTGAGGAACTTTGCTGGTGGTGAAGCAGGAAAAGGGGAAAGCTAATTATTTGGGCATCTGTTTAGTTGTTTCCCATGGAATATTCAGCATGAGATTTCCATTGGACTGTATAGGTAAATATTCCAGGAGAAGATAGCTGGGCTGAGCTGAGATCAAAATCTGTGACTTACCATCATGGTGGTGACATAGAAATAAAAGAGATAAAACAGTGTGCCGTGGGAAGATGCTCATGATCAACCTTTAAGGAACCACTATGACTAGGGGATGTACAAAAAAGGATACTGCAATCAAATTTGGACTGATATTAGAGTTATAGAGAACCCAGAGCACAGGTCCTATAAGCAAAAAAAAAAATCTTGAGGGATTATTGTATAATGCCAAAAACCAAAGAGAAGGCAAGTAACAGGAGCACTACAAGTATTCACTGTATTTGGCCATTAAAACACCTTTATGTTACAGTGGGAAGATAGATGCTTAATGAAGAACAATAAACTATTTTTCATAGGTGAAAATTTTAGTGTTTAAACTGTGTACAATGTTGATATGTTACAAATGAAATGAGAATTAGTTGTAGAAAGTTTATTTTAGGTGCATCTCATTTCTATGCTCTTTGGTATAAATGCCCACAACCCTTTTGGACCACACCACTGAAGCATGTTAAGAAGCTTATTCCTTAATTTTGAGTGAGATTGAACATCATTTCAGTATCTATAATAATAACAGGGTAATATGCTAATTAGACCAGGTGTCATTCCGGACGTCCTTCCTGACAAAGCCGGGGCCAGAGGGAAGCCAGCCTGGGTCCCGAGTGCCTGCCAGCAGCGAGAGGAGGGAAGCAGCCCAGGTCCCGGAGGGAAGCTGGTGCTGGCAGCCGGGGGAAGGGAGGCCTATTCTTGCACAAGTTTCATGCTTCTGGCCTCTAGTATCTTATAATTAAAAGGCAAAACAATACAAAATACCACTTTGTTCTATTTCATGAAACTGACTCAAGAGATGAAGGAAACAAGAATTTCTCATTTTATTGCTAAAAGTATAATTGGTATATCTAGAAGAGCAATTTAGTGGTATCAGACTCAAATATTTCATTGTTAGAAACTTAACCTATCCTTAGGGAAATAATATGTATTATATGAGTGTATATGACAAATATTTCAACTTTTAATTTAATAACCTATTGTTTCAATCCTTTAATATGTTTTATTGATATTTTTCAAGTACAGTGTATGATATCTTTTTAATAAAAGTTATAAATCTTCTCTTCTCATGCTAATTTTTCACAATAGGTAACTTTCAGATATGACTATCAGACTGTTAGCTATCATTACAACCCTTTAATCCTTTTCTTTTAAGAGTAGTTCAAGATGTTTTTAAAATTTTTTCTTTAACTTTTCACTCTGTGAGCAGGAATCAGTTATGGCCTATATTACATAAGCAAAGTATTAACCTTAACATTTATTGAACAAATATTTGGACAATTTATTATGTGTACTGGATACTGTTCTAAGTCCTAGAGATAGACAAAGGCCCCGTCCTCGTGGCACTCACAAGAGGGGAAAAGTCAGAAGACTAACAACATATGGATAAAATGTCTGGTAGAGACAAGTGTGATGAAAAATAATAAAAGAGGGGTGAAGGGTAAGAGTGATCAGGATAGATTTTATATGGTATGGTCAGGGAAGGCCCTGTTAGCTGTCTGAGATCTAAAATGAAGAGAGAAAGAATGCCATGAGAAGCTCCAGGAGATGTGTGATCCACGTAGAGGGAAATGTAAGTGGAAAAGTCCTGAGTCAGAAGGAAAGTGTGGCTGGAAAGGATTACGCTAAGCAGAGAGCAGTAGAAGAGGGGCCTGGGCCAGGTCAATAGGACCTTGGAAGCAATGGATAGAGGTTGAGTTTTATTCTGAGTGTGATTAGAGAGTTTTCCAAAGGGGTAATGTGACCTGATTAGGCTTTTAAAAGAAAACTGAAACACCAATCAGAAAGAATGTATGTACCCCTATGTTCATAGCAGCACAATTTCCAAAAGCTAAGATCTGGAAACAGCCCAAATGCCCATCAGTAGACGAATGGATAAAAAAGCTGTGGTACATTTATACCATGGAATACTAAGCAGCAGTAAAAAAGAAGAATCTCTTACCCTTTGAGACAGCATGGAGGTGTTGTGCCCAGATTTCAAAGTCACAGACAATGGGGCTGTGAGGGCCTGGAGCAGGAGGTGGGGGCGGGCTGGAGGGGGTCATTGAGGGGAAAAGGGAGTCATATTCAATATTTTCAACAATAAAGAATTATTTTTTAAATATTTTATTAATAGATAAGAAAGACAAAGGATAAAACAAATGTTTTGCACATTAAAATATAGGCAGGAATTTATGGAAAATGTTAGTTTTCCTAATACAAAAAAATTGAAACTGAAACAACCATGAAGTTCTACTGTATCTGTTAAATCAGCAAAACCAACCAAATGATTCTTTTTTTTTTTTTTAAGTGCTGGCAGGGTTAGGGACTAAGAGGTGAGCCAACTCATTTCTCCTGGCTTTGTAAATTGGCCAGTTCTTCTGGAGAGCCATCTGGTACGGGCCAGGGATCATAAAATTGTTCATTATGTTTGACCCAATAATTTGATTTGAGAATCTCAAAATGGGATTATTAACCAAAGGAATATGTTTATAGCTTGTATGGCAATACTATTACTCATCATTGTAAAAATGAAGTAGTAATCTGAATATCTAACAATAGTGAACTGGACAAAGATTCTATATTTATGGATACTGGCATGCATATGATATATAGCTAGTAGGACTTAAGTATTTGGAATTATTTATACAAAATAATATTGAGTGAAAAGAGCTAAACTTCCGCCAATTACAATAGTGCAAAAACACTTTTATACACTGATAAAAATCAGAAGACCCTGTGCAGTGACATAAATAATTGAGAATGCAGTAGGGAGAGTGTCTTTTTTCCTTCTAAAATGGACATTAACTATCCAAAGTCACATCTACTCACACAGAGAACGCTGCCTGGGGAAGAAGGGTGGAATACAGTACTATGGTTATGGGACCCTGGAGCCCAACAGTCAGTTTAAGTCTTGCTTTTATTAGTTATTCTTGAACAAAATTTGTTTGTTTGCTTATTCTCTCTAGGTCTTCATTTGCAAGCTGAGGGTCATAATAGTACCTTCTTCATAAATGTGTTATAAGCATTAGAAGAGATTAATGCAAAGTGTTTGGCAAGGCAAAGGCTAATTATGTTTTAACTAGCATTATTATTATATAGTTTGACTGATGGGTTGCCTGATCAAATATTTATAGATTATTACTAAGTGTCAGGCTCTTTTCTAAGAGCTTTTATAAATGACACATCTTCCTGACTATTCAGCAGGGACTATATCTTATCATTTTCCCGTGTCTTCTCTCTATAATACTCAGCAAGGTAACTGCACATAGCACGTAATAAATACCTATTAGATGAATGAAAATGTGTTACTCCTTTCTTAAGGATAAACATTTCTCCACCAATCTTATTGATACAAAGGTTGTTTTGTTTTTGGATTTTTTTTTAAATCCTATTCTTACTTTACCCCCAAGGAATGCAAGGCTGACTGGCCCCAGCAGCAGGAAATGTGGTCAGAACATGAGACTCCGAGTCACCAGCCCCAGTGACCTCGGGCCAATCCTCAATTCCTTCTGTCTCTGAGTCTTCATTTGACAGTGGGAAGATTTTATGTCATAGCTCAAGGATTTAAAAGAGGCTTCCATAAATCAACATCTCAGACAGAAATGCAAACACTTATTCTTTTATTACAAATGATTGATGTGGAAGAAAATTAGTGAAGGGAACGGGAAGGAAAGCTCATGCCAGTGACCTAATATTCCCCACATAATGTGCATCTCTCTTCATTTGCTGAAAAATCCTGATCAAGGAAAACACAGTGAAGCCAAACCATAGCAGATTAAGTAAATAGGCCTGTACATTTCCATGTAACAAGTACTATACATCAATATAAAATTTCAGCATCAGATGGGAGAGGAAGCGAATTAATTCATTTATATTTCTCTCTTTGTTGTTGTGTTAGCTATTTTCTAATCCAGAGTGAACTTTATAGGCTGGAAACTGCACTTTGACCTCCTGAAAGCTGAGATCTCTGGTTCTATTCCATATTGCTTTCTTTATGACGAGGGTCACTGATGTTGTGGGAAGAAAGGGAACAGCAGAGGGCCCCCTAAGATCAGAACAATGGTTACGTAAGAGCAAGCTTTGCACATATTTAAACCGGTGAACCCAAGAAGAAGCCAATGGCTGCAAGTTCCCATTCCTGGTGCTGGCTGTATCATTGTCTCACAGTGGAAAGTGGGGAAAGTGCCCTTGAAACTCCAGCTGTG